TTTTTTTTCTGGCCCGAATGGCATCGATCTTGCAGTTACTCGAAAACAAAGAATTCTTGGATCGTGTAGTATCTAGAACTCCTCTCAAGCGCCCTGGAGAGCCCGAAGAAGTCTCATCGATGGTTGCTTTTCTCTGTCTTCCAGCTGCTTCTTATATTACCGGTCAGATTGTATGTGTGGATGGAGGAATGACTGTGAATGCGTTCCCTCTCGACATCTAATTTTGAGTCTGTTGTTTCTATGGCCGTCAGTACGAATAAGTTTGTGACTGCAGTTGTATAAAGCCTTAGTATTGCACTATTTCTTTGTTTTCCATTGTTGTACATTTTCCTTGCTTTTCACAGTTCAAACCAATTTGGCTTGCAAATTTCATTGCGTGAGATTCCTTCTCATTATGTGGAGAATGAGATGATGTATTATAGGGGTCCCGGGTGGATAAAACCAACCCCGCATATTTTTTAGATTTTTGTTTTTTTTTTTTGGTACAGGGACCTTCCGATTTCCGGATCCACAGGGGAACCGACTAATCCGGAATCGAGCCGGGTAGGACCACAAGGGCGGCAAAGCTCTCCCTCAACAGTTTTTAAATTAAGATTTGGAAATTTAATTTTTTTTAAAGAATTTAAATTTGTAGGAAATAGTTTTTTTTTTGTTTTTTTTTTCTCGGAACGACATAATCTATAGATAAAATACATATTTACAATTCTGAAAACAGTTAGAACAACCGACAGAAGTAGCTATACGGTTGAATCCAGTATAGCTAATTCCAAAGAGGGGCTTACATGACAAAATGCTTGTAGAATACTAATAGACTACAATACTAATACTCCCACAAGTAAGAAATTATAGCTCTCAAAAGAAGAATAAACTACAAAATAACATACTACAAAACACAAACTACTAACACCACAAAGCACTACACACCACCCTAAGCACTAGAATAAAGCCCTTCTCGACTGCCGCTGAAATCTCCAAGACACCACCACTTGAGCCAACACCCAAAGGCGACCTCCCACGAAAGACATACCCCCAGCTCCAGCCACAGATCTAGAAAATCCGACCTACGACTAACTTGATCCAGACCAAAAGAGAGTTATACCCTAAAGCATCCTAACAATAAACCGGCAATGACAACCTATCACCAACAAGGCAATGGCAACCCCCTCCATCGCACCCTTCCACTTCAACGCCAGAGACATACAAGTTCTCCAAATTAGCAAAATGGAGTTGGTCTCAGCTCCATCCTCCACCAAAAGTGCAAACGACGTTGATTGTCACGAGCTCGACGCCCAGACGTTAGACCCCGCCATATCCACCACTAGATATATATATTTTATTATATTTGAAAAAAAAATATATACTAAGGGTGTAAATCTTAAAATTCTAGCATGACTTTCTATATAAATAAAGTGATATGGAATTTGAATGTGATAATTATCACAATAAATTTTGATTTTTTTTTATATTAATTACGAATCACTCGAATTTCTTATTCTTTTGATAACCAATCATTTACTGTGATTTTCTACAATATATTTTAAAAAATGATACTATTAAATAGGTTTTTTTTGTAAAATTTTTTTATTTGAATATGCATGATAAAATTTCAAATATAACTACGACATAAAAATTAAAATCAATTATGTCGACCTTACATGCAAAATATTAGTTTAGAAAGAAAAATCTAAATATTTATAATATATACTGTTACAAATTATGATGACAAACCAACGAATCATGTCGAACTATCCATGTAAGTATTAACTTAGAAAAAAAAAAAATGTAATACAAAAATTGTAATGTATATTGTTATAAATTATAATGATAAATCAACAAGTGACTTACCGAACAACGATGTAAATTGTTAGCTTAGAAAAAATAAAAACATATATTTATAATGTATATTATTATTAATTATAATGGTAAGTCAGTCGTTGTGAACAATCATAAGAATTAAAAGATTATAAAGAAAATTTAAAATTTTTATAATATACATCATTATAAGTAATAAAAATAATATTGATGTAACTAAAACTTATTAAGTTTGTTAACTTCAAAATAATACATATTACAACCTTTTTAATTAATTGTTAGCTATAATATTTTCCACAATTTTTTGATTTTAGCATAACTTATTTGGAATATAAGTATTGTAATAACGTAGGAGTAAGTAACGTTTTGTCATTACCCTTACTTCTAAACATGAACTTTAAAATAACAATTATTTTATAAATATATAAATCATATGTTAAGTTATTATATACCATGAAATAAAAGGAAAAAATATTAAAATTAATCTGTTTTTATAATAATCAATGTTGGCTTTAATAGATGCATTATAATTATTGGATCGAGCTAAAATATTAATGAAAAAATATTATCAATATTGAATCGAGCTAAGGGCGTCATTTTATATTCTGGCTCTGAAACTTACCTGATGAAGATCTCGTGTCCCGGATGTGCGGTTGCCCTGAAATAGCGCGCGCGGACGTCTTCGACTCGGCGGTAGGTCGTGGACGTGGAGTTCTCGATGATGGCGCGGACGATTCGGAGGTTAATCTCATTATCTTCTCGCGATAGGTGAGACAGCTCAGACGTGGATCCTTGTCAAACCCGAGCTTGTTACGAACAATGCGGTGAACGCCCTTTTCGTGACAATGTTTTTGTATTAAAATTCAAGAAGAATTCTAACACAAGAGATTGAACCAAAGTTCATATTTTCTTAATACTTCAATGATAAAATTCGAATAGAGATGACAAGTATTTATAGAGGCTAAATAGATCTAATCATATGCTAACTATAACTCTGAACTCTTAGAAATAAATTAAACTCCTAAGGCAACTAGATATCATATAATCTAAAACTTACCAAATAATTAAATAGCTAATTAGGCACATGCCCTTTATTCCAAATCCTAACAAAATTAGAAGTCCTAATATGCTAAGTAAATCGGCCCCCAATCCTCTTGCTTGCGCCGCACGCCGATCGAACCTTAGCCGCGTTGCGCTAGTCCTCGTCCTTCGAGGTTTCGGGCTCGCCCGCGTCATCGCGTGCATTCACGCCTCACGCGTGTTCGCCACTCGCGTGCTCGCTAATCGCGACCCGTGCGTGCTCGCCCACTCGCGTCTCGCCCTGCGCACCCTTCGCGTGGTCGACGCGCTAGCCTCCAGGCGCCGATCGCGTCTCGCTTTCATGCCTTCCCTTACGCATGCCTTGCACCCGTCGGCCGTGTCTCGCGCAACGCCCGTGCTGCTTGTCGTGCGCTCATCAATCCCCAGCATCCTCTCGCTCGTTCCCTCCTTCGCACGACCCTTCTTCACGCATCCCGACCCTGCACGCTTCGTCACCCGGCTGACGCGTATCGCCGGTACGTGTACCGCACGGTCATCCCGTGTGCGCCATTTCATGCGTGTCTGCGTCATTTTCTTACGATCCCGCGTCCCATCCCGCCTGCTCGCGTATCCCCGCCCTTGGTCTAAGGGCATCGCGTCCTCGGGCTCGGAAGGATCGATGACCACATTTTCATCACTGGACGTCGCAAATTACAAATGAATCGGCCCTCCATTTTACCTACTGCGGATATCCTTTATTTTATTATTACACATCACATTAAAATTAATTAGTTTATTTTTATAATTTTTATTTCAAGAAATACTATATCCAAATCACACAATATCGATCACATTAATTTTAATTTTTTATTTTCATAATCTATTAATATATAATAAGGATTAACATAATTCACTTTTAGAAACACTTTCCCGCCAATTTCATTAATTATTGTTTAAAAACAGTAAATTAACAAATCAATGTAATTAATGTACATAATCCTTTTAGTCAAATATTTATGGTTATTACCTTTATTAGTTGAATTTAAATTTAGGATGATTTAGTTTTATGGAAACAAATATGGGGGTATTATAGAAACTTTCGAAATCTTTAGTTTAAATATATAGACTTGATTGAGCAATTATAGAGAACTAATCGTTAATTTTTATATCTATATTATATTTCCTGTATCGAGTAAAACATAATAAATCAATACTTATGTTATTTTTCATACATCTTTTTGTTGGCATATTAGAGTTGCAAGATTATCTTTTTCTTTGTAGACAAGATAACCAAATACAAAAATATAAATAACATTTATGTGCCGCGAAAAAATATTTTGGACAAAATGTAGAAATGACTTTTAGAAAATACTTAATTAATTTATGGTATAAAGTTGACAAAATTAATAAATCCAATTTTGGTATAAAGTTGATGATTTTATTTTAAGTATCTGATAGCCATTTTTATTTTTCTATAGAAAATGTGTTGTTAATAATAAATGTCCGATTTTGCGGTATAAAGTGGGTGATTTATTTTTGGTACGAAATGTTCGAATTTAAGTAGTATGAATTTTATTTGGAATGAATAGAAGTATATTTGAAATTATTTAAAACAAAATAAGTGCATTTACAATGCATAAATGTTGTTATCACATAAATTTTGACAAATGTCAATTGTTTATATGGATTGTGAACCACATAAGATATTTGTTAAGTTCATAACTTTATATCTAAAAAATTATCTGCGTGCACAATGTGATCAAATATAATATTGTCAATTGACAAAAATAAAAATAAAATATAAATAAGAAACAAAAAACAAATTAATAATTAGATATTTTTAAAAAGATATTCCATAATATTTGATTAAACACTAAATCCATCTATTTGGAATCAATTATTTAAACGCAGTATTATTATGAAACCAAATGTTATGGAATATCTTTTTAAAAACAGCATAATTATGATATCAAGATATTTAACCACAATTCAATCTTTTTAATTCAATCCATATCTCTTTTTAGACTTATCAATTTATTTTAATATAATATAAATTTACCGTAAAAATGAGAGTTGAACTTTACAATAATCACGGTATCAATATTAACAACATAAATGCTAAATAAAATTTAATTATTTGGACTGTACACTTTATTATATACATATAAATAAATCGCCTATTTGCACTTTAAGTATTTTATTTTTTCATATATAGTTATGCAATATATGCAACTTAACTAAAAGTAAAAAATATTCTAAAGATTTCATTTCAATCATGGTAACATGTTTTTTAAAATTGCCACAATTTTCGATTCACTAATCCACTACTCATGTAAACATCTTTTTGTTATAATATACGATTTTCTTTTTATCATTTTGAATCATTTTCTTATCACTTTTTTTATGAAACATATTTTTCATTTAAAAACCGTGATTTACAAGTCCTCCGGTTCATTTAGTTATTTTTTTATCTAGAAATGATAAAATATCGTTGTTGTTTTTTTTAAACGTAATTATTTTTATAAATATGTTTTACAAAAGATACAACCAAAATTCCAAATATCTGTTAAAACATAACAAAACAAAATCGTTCTCAATTTTTGGAATGAATTTGGCATAAAAATGAGAATGATTGACAAAAAAAAAAAAAGATATACTCAAAATCCATACTTTAACTTTAAGGTAACAATTTTCCTTATACTCGATATAAAATTAAACTTCACCAGATGATCATATCTTTAGTATCATCACAATATTACATATTTTCACTATAGTTTTATTTCATGGTGTAACATTCCGAAAATCAACAAAAGAATGAATGAATGAGGTGTCTATGCAATTCACACCAAGTGGAGAGCAATTTTGGTAAATATCGATTTACGGTTACCAAGTGAAAAATAATTTTGCATGGAAAAACAAATAGCTTTTTACGATTTTGCTATGAAGCCAACAGTTGGCTCCATAGTGGAGCCAACCTTCTATATACAACAAGTAAACCTACCATCTTAAATAAAACTAATATAAGTTTATTAATATGGTAAGTTTATTTATTGTATAAAGAAGATTGACTCCATAATGAAGCTAATTGTTGGCTTAATAGCGTAACCGTAGCTTTTCAATAATGTATATTTTTTAATGACGATCATTTTACGATTACTTAACAAATGTTCTATGTATTATAACTTATTGATTAATAGCCCTTCAATTATAAATTTTACCAAAATAAATACAGCCCGTGTATCACACGGGGTACGTACTAGTTTTTATTTCAAAAAATATTATATTCAAATCACACTGATATCGAGTGCATCACCATCACCATTTAATGTCGAATTAAGCTCATTGGACACCTGTTGCAGTATAAATGTTTGCGCTGAAATTGCTCCAACACCAACTTGGGTATATAATTTTTCTATCTTTTTTCCTAACAACTATAATCAACACTCTATTTTAATCAATTAAATAAGAAATATAACAATATACACAAAATTTTTATATTTCATTTAATTAACTTTTTAGAAAAAAAAATCACAATCAATCCTCATCTTTTTATTTTCTCACTTCATCAATACAATTTTAAAAGTAAAATTATTGTTACTTTAATTTTCTTACAAAAAAATTATTTTGATCTTTTCTCACATTTATTTATACTTATTTATTATAATTTTTTTTAAATCACATTTATTTCAATCATTTCATTTTTTATTTATATCGTGAAAAAAAATTACAAATAGCCCTATTTAAACGTTGCTTAATTTTTTTTCACAAGAGCGTCTCGCTCGCTGCTCTTGACTGCGCTTTTTCTTTTTTCCCCTTCTTCTCTTCCGTTCTCTCCTTTGAAGTTGCCTGAACAAGTACTTGCTGGAGTAAGGTGAGAGCCCAAGAAGGCACCGCCATTGATGATCTGTGAAATTTACTCGTTTAATTGCTCTAGAAAATTTTCGTTTCTATTTTTTATGCCCTTTAATGGAGCTGTTTTGTAGATCCGAACCTCAAAGCTGTTTAATTTATCAACACCAAGGCGTAATTAATTATCAACATTGTTTGTTGGTAAGATGAAGGTGCTTTAAGCAAACCAATCTGTACTACTTCAGTTCAGATAAGGCCCGTTAAAGCCTTTTGTGGGTGGTCCGTAACACCTAACTATTATATAGATGATTGCTTCGAATTGCTTTTGTTGTATCCTAGAATTTGTGATGTGGGTTTTATGAGTTTGTTTGTGTAAATTACCGTGCAAGCTGAAGAGTCCAAATGATTACTGTTTTTGTTTTTGAGGTTCTAAACCTATCAGGATATACTATGTGGGTAAAAGGGCTTGTCAATGTGTCAATGTCTGTTATATTTAATTAGTGGTAGAATAATTCACTTTGTGATGATGGGCTCTTTTTTCGCTGTTATGGTTTTGAGTTGACCCATGGTTACTTTTTTTTTTTTTTT